TACTTCCTGTACAACTTGAACCACTTGTACTACCTATTGCAGTATGTAGCCTACACCGGAAGTGACAATGCCTTATTCTTGATATGGGATAAAACTGTCCATTCTAGACTGCTTAATCTCTTGAGTGTAACTGTATGTGCATTTGGTCATGATCAATTTCAAGAAAACCTGCCTGTATACGACGATTTTTTTTCCGAAATAATTAATTTTTCTGATAAGATCATGACTTTCTGAAGAATAACTTTACTGTTTCGCAATCTACTGTAAATTCATGACACCCCCACTGAAAAAGGCATATAACTTTTCGGATTAAACGTCATTTTTCAGAACATAGTCAATACAGAGGAAATGCAAAAGGCTTAAGCTTGCCTGCTCCATTTCCGGTTAACGCAATGGATGTGCTTATCTGTATTATCCACCACCATATTTATTCAGTTGAAAGCATTTTAAACGATGCGAGTACTGTACATACTTCATAACAGAAAAAAGTCAAAACAAATTACATATCAAGTGAAGTTTTTGGTTTAAACATTTTGTTAACATATTTTAACGTCAAAGCTGGTGTAATTAGAATTTTGAAATGTGCCAAAAATAAAAACATAAAATTTGAGACAAATAGAAACCATTCCATTTAAGAATATTGGACTTTGATCCCCATTTAAGCTTCAGATAATAAATAAAGATACGCTCTTTGTGTTAAATTAGGTCACCAACAGTTAGAATTGACAGAAATGCATTTCATGTCGCGTGGTAGCGCGTGCAGCACGTGCTTGTAGACAATTTGGATTTGTTATTGTGAATAATATACCTCTATACTTTTTAGGGCGCGCGCGAACCTTCCAATCAATAAATCCTTTTCAGCTTCTCAAACGGGACGTAAGAGTCCTTGTGAGATACAATGATGGAGTACCGAATGCTCTTTCATTTTTAATGATAATTTAGTGAAATTAATAAAAATGGGGGCCTAGTTCGACCTAGCACGATATTCGTCCAATAATATGATTGCTTTTCATGGTGAAAAGGTGAATGGCTCAATGATAGTCGACCTCAATAGATAAAAGGAATTATAAAATTTGCCGAAACGTCAAAATCTGGCTCGAAATAGCGAATGAATGATAGGAAAATAACTAATTGAAGGGCTTGAGATATTAAAAGGATATTCAATATACCAACCATCCTGTGCTTTCTGATTTTTCATTGGTTCTTTAGCTCGGCAGCTGGCTGGGGTCGCGTGGCGCTCTTGATTGACATAGACCCAAAAACACCTGTCCCTGACGTCACAATAGGCAAAGAGGACATGGGCAAATGAAAGGCCTCAAAGTCCTCAAGTTTCTCTTTTTTGTATATAGTGTGTTGCTGTTCGTGAATTATTGGGCGGTTGGAGAACTGGTTTATCATCAGGTTTTCATGGGTTAAGGGTCGCATTTCTCATTTCAAGAAATGTTATGAAAAAGGTGTTCCATGACGATCGTTGCCTTGCTAAAATATTCATCCATAATTTATATTTTGCTTTTAATGTAAATAATATTGAAAATCAAAGGGGTGAGCACATATATCACAATTGTCTGGATAGTAACATACAAAAAAGTAAGGTTTCATGCGCCAACAGCACTTCCGGTTCATGAGACCAAATCAAAATAGTTTAACTGGGTACTTGTCGAACCCGTACGGGAGCCACTGGATTTCCAACGACAACTTGTGGTATCCGGGAGAATTTAATCAGTCTCTGAAATCAGTCAACCATGGTCGCCGTCACAGTTGTGCCAATTGCTATCAGTTGCTCGTGTTTTGCGTTTTAGCATCTACGAACATCCGTTTGATATCAACTGCTACATTTATCGGGTAATACTTGGAAAGGCATATCGACCTAAGCTCAAATTCAATCGATGGTCAAAGACAGATGCAAACATGTCATGGTGGCCCTTTGCTAACTAACTAAAGAACTGTCTTACCAATCTTTTTCGGGTTTCAGAGGCCTTGACAAACATATCTGCACAATCGTGCCATGTAGTATTTGAACGGTTTAGCCAAAAGATAAACCGAAAAGGGAGTAGGAGAGACGTTTGCGAATCTTTCAAACGAGGTGTGAAGGGGTTTTTCAGCTGCATAAATGAGGAAAACAAACTTTGAGTGCCATCTATAAATAAAAGATTATGAATTCCAAAAATGGATTCGATATTTAACAATAGCTAGTAATTTATTCATAAATCTTAGATCTCTTGAGAAAGAAATTCCATTCTCACGACATTCAACAAAATCTTTGAAGAAGGTCAAATCGACATGGGGTAGCTTAAATGTATTTTACGCGATTTTAATTGTATTTGATTTTTAGGTTAAACCACCAATTCAAACGAGAAAACTGTTTGAAAAATCGATAAATTTTAACGCGATAAATTTATTTGCCCAAGGATAGGAAGACTACCACCGAACTAACTCATTTTGACGGCACGTGCCAGAAACAATGCATCCGAATACTTTTGTTATGCAAATGAGATTGTCGCGTGCTGTTCTTATTTAAATACGCGTTCTTATTTCAAGGGATGTGTATATTCATAGTAATGTATTTGGGACTCAAATTTTCCATTAGATTTTATGGTTCCGAACTCAATTTGAATTTTTTTTTTATTTCGTTTCGTTTTCGTTGTAGGGTAATTTAATCAGCCGGGTTAGTGACGTCATAATCTTTCATTACATGTATTTCGTTCCAGATTAGCTGATTAAAAGTGATTGAGTTTTACGTTTGAAGTTTTGTAAACGAGGTGTCCGCTACATGTGTCAAATCCCAATCACATCACACTTGCTTTGTAAATTGTTTCGTAGATATGATAATAAAAGTGGTACTTTCATGTTCTGTGACGTAATCCATCGTCATTTCATAAATCAAACCACATGTAATTACACCAAATTAAATAAACCTGTCACGTGACAATCAAATTATGCTTACGTCACTTTGACTTTACATCTGCCAAACGCAGCAAAGGCGTGGATTTTGAAGTCCAATGGCTATCTTTAATTTTAGTTCAACACATTTTGATAATCGTGTTATCAAACCAAAACGAATTTGACCACTGAGAGAAATCTTACATAAAATACTTTTATTTTGATGATTTTTTGATCAAATCTGAAACTTAGTATATACAACCGTTTAACACCATACAAAATCCAATTCGTTTAAGGATTTGGATCTGTTTGCAAAAACAATTTTCGTGGAATACTTTTTCATTAGGCCTATCTGATAGTGTTGAGAACTCAGTTACAGATGTCATTTCACACGAGGAATGAATTCAGATTTCAGTGATTCGCCTACTTCCAGCAATGTTAAATAGATCTACTTGCCCTTAAAGTGTCACGATTCCTTTGAAACAACGTTTGCAAAATATGAACACTCAATTTAGTTTTGTACGTTAGGATTCACAAAGGCATAAAAATCGAATATGTATAGATTTACATACATTAAATACGTAGGCCTAGTAAACTATTATTTAAAAAGTTGTCAAATCTTGTCAAGTAAGTGTTAATTTGTTGACAAGGTCTAAATATGATGTGATATTAATTAACACCTATTAATTACAAACATATTAAAAGATAGTCCAAAATTATTTGAATTTGTTACAAATTCTGACATTGTTCATATCCTATTGATTAATGATATACGAAATTAATAAGTTTAATTCTGTATGAGTCATACAACTTTATCCTCGTTTTCAGGGAGAGAGTTCGTGAGAAGGATCTCCAAGGGAGCTGCAGCCAATCAAATCTCTACATTTTATCGCATGTCACAGGACATCTCCAGCTCTTCCTGGCACTGAGTTGTTTATGACATCTGGTTTGTTGAAGCTTGTGACATCATTTTGAGGTCAATGTCATGCTTGATTGAGCAGCCCAAAGAGCTAAAAATGCCAATATATTTTTATTGACCCCCTCTGTGTCATTTTGCTATGTAATAATGTGATTGCATGCCAAGTTGATATTTCTCATCCTGAGTCATGGTTTAAAAATTAAGGGACATGACATCATACAGTGAGTATTAGTTGACTTTTGCTTGATCGATTTTCTTCATATCAGCCGACTGACAGACCCACTCAAGCGTCGTTCTAAAAATAAATATGACACAAACACTAAACTTTCCCGATAATTTTCAAAAATATATTTCAGTTGATGACGTGTACAACAAAAACTTCCTTTTTGCTGCCTGTAGAGAATGGTCTCGAATTTCAAGTGTAGCTAAAATGCTCAGTCGATTTGCCTTTTCCGAGCACAATATCCTTCCTTATTGCAGAGTTTCCGTGGGACACTGCCTCTATACTTTTGTATGTAGTTTGTCACGCGCAAGATTGCAGAAAGTTTTACGGTTTGTGATGCAAAAGGTTCTGAATCTGGACAGTATTTAGATGAGTGTAGGAAATGTTAATGTCTTGTCTTATGATAATTGAAATTCGTTGAGAAAAACCACGAACAGGCAATCAAATTATTCGTCTGCAAGAGATCGTCTCAATGAGAGACGCCTGCTCTGGATTTAAATCTGTCCTGGTTACAAATTTCTAACTGACGATAGTTTCAACTGCGTATTCCTGACTTGAAAATACTAGCAACCACGTGGTCATTCATAGTAAAAATGATGAGAAGAGGCGTGGCAAAACAAACCAAGTTTATCATAAATTTAGTAAGAACTCATGAACGAAGAAACATAATAGATCTATGTTTACATTAATTGACCAATGAAAGAGCAAAGAGGTGTGTCTTCCAACTGTCACGCATATTAAGTAATCACGTGACATTAGCGTGGCTTTAAATACTACTCTTCTCCCATTGACTTGAAATTTTGTAGAGAGATGTGTTAAGAACTCTTTGGATATAACTATTTTAAAGTTTAATACTTGCGCCCAGTGCGCTGAAGTTGAGTTAAAATATATATATTTTCTTGTGTTGTGTAGATAAAGTAAATTGTCATAATGGTACCTCAACAAATTATCATAACCAGTGATGATGGGAATAATAATATGGAGTCGACGAGTCCAGGACTACCACGCAGTGTCTCACCGTCACAGTTCGGATCTCAACAAATCAGTCCAGATTCATCGACGCCTTACTCGGACGCTACAAACTGTAAGAAAGCAACAAACCATGTCAAGAGACCAATGAATGCTTTCATGGTTTGGTCTCAGATGGAAAGGAGAAAGATCTCCGAAGTGTCACCTGAAATGCACAATGCTGAGATTTCAAAACGTCTTGGCAGACAGTGGAAGTTACTCAACGACGAAGATCGACAACCCTTTATAGAGGAAGCTGAACGGTTGAGATTATTGCACCTTCAGGAATACCCCGACTACAAATACCGACCAAGGAAGAAGGGAAAAACTACGGAAAAGGTTGTTGGCGGAAAAGTTGCGAAGCCTGCCAAAGCCCGATCCGATAAAACTAAGAAAATTGTTAAAACTGCTCAACAACAATTCTGTGAAACGAACACTATGACTTCATCATTAAGTGCTGTGAATACGAATCGACTTAAACTCAAGTTAACCATTGACAAGAAATTCAAGGAAAGTATTCGTGTGAGTAAACAAGTTCCAGTATCAACGCAACTAACTCCGCCAGCAAAAGTTCCTTCCAGTCCCTCAGTTTATACTCCTCCAACTCCAGAATCTGCAAGTTTTTACGGGGAGGATATGTATGAATCAGCTTCAGCAATACATGTGGAACCCCTCAAAGCCCAGCCTACAGTGCAAAGAGTGACAGACGTCCAAATGGATAACTCCGCCTCACTGGCCGATTTGGATAATCTCACGGATGTGCTTCAATTGCCTTCCAACTGGCAATTAGAATTGGGAAACATGGACTTGGCAAAGTTAGCCGATACCGACTTCAATATTGACTTTCAAGGTAATAATTCCACTGGCAATTCACATTTCGAATTTCCAGACAATTCATATCAGGAAGTGTCAGAAATCCTAGGACTTGAAAACGGTTGGCTCGAGTCAAGTTTAAACTCACTTATCACGACGTAAATGTTTATAAGACATCGTTTGTGTCGTCAAAAACTCTTATAAGTGAATATTCAGGACGTAAAGGACAAATATTTGCTCACAGCTAATTTTAGTCGTAGAGTGAATGCCTGAATGAGAACTAGTGCCTGAGTGATGGGAAAGCAATAAGCCATGTTCAAATTCCGAGCCCAAATCGCCTTGCAAGAAACAGACCGAAAAAAGTGAAAAAGGCTCTTGTCACATCTCTGCATTAAAAGTGTACTGACAAGGGTACTAAACAAACGGTTATAATAAAACACGTTTTTTGTATTAGCGAATCGAACTTGTGCTTTATTTGATGTAGACGTGGATATCCTGCACTGAGATAAAACGTTAACTAAACTAACGTATAGTTTGAAAGTATGTAATGTATTTCAAGTCTATTGACCTAGAAACTTTTTTTATAAACATTTCAGTCTCAACTTTATATAAACTGTTTCTCTTAAAGCAGCTAGCTAACAAAACTGTGCCTCAAATTCTGTTCCTTGTGCAAACTTGGAACATTCGATTTACCCAATCAAGTGCGGAATTAATTTATGTGTATAATGTATTTTCTGTCTATTCGTGGGTACAATTTCTTTTGCATAATTCCCACCTCATTCAAACATTGTAAAAATTTGAACTTAATTCCAGAAAATATACATTTGTCGTAAGTTTTTTTGTAAATTTTGTAGAAATTTTTAATCAAAGTATTACTTTTAGAGAGAAAAAGCTCAAATTATTATTATTATACATTTTGTACAAACTTTTCCTCACGATACGAATGTTAGATAATATATTATAGACGTAGGGTGATATTTATTTAGTATACATATATATATATTTATACACCCAATACCTAATTATGCTGAACAAAGGCGTGTTAAATTAAAATTAATATTATAACGTTATCAACGAAATCTCCGAAATTTGTTTTTCGGTTTCGGACATTTTTTATAGTTTGTATTCGTTGAAAAGCGATTATTTTCTATATATTATATTATGACATGTAGTAAAACATGGAAATCTAAATTTTGTTGTTTTCTTTTTTTATCTCATTTATCATTTTAAAAGAACGATACAAGAAATAGGGAGGTCTGTAGTTATATTTGAGAAATAGGTCACGTCTGCATCCTATGATAAAACAAGTTGAATCATCGTTGAATTATTTTGTAACAAATTTCACAGATCATCCCTTTAAAATGATAAGATTATATTTAAAGACGGGGAAATAGTTTTTGATGTTGGACAGATGGCAAAATCAGGCCAATATAAACTTGAGATTTCATATCACGATGTTAATGAATCGTCTGCTAGTAACATGGAATGACTCAAGTTACTACGCACAGATGCTCAACCGAACAGTCTTTACATTCGTATGGTTAATTTTCGATGCCGTTTTCTTTTAATTTTTGAATTAGGGCAAAGGGTCACTCTGCAGATTTATACCTTATTTTCTAACGCTGTGAGCCCAAAGGCCGAGATCGTGTTTAAATTCTACGTGAAATGCTGTTGTAACTTGAAGTTGACCCCGCTAGCTAAATGAGTATATTGAGGAAACTCTTTTTAACTCGTGTGAAAAGGTTGGCCGGGTCAACATAAGTGCACCTGGCAAATTTGTAAGCTTACATCCGTTAACTGACCTTGAAGTCAGATTTTGAATTAATAAGTATTTTTAACCATTTTTCACGTCAAGTGTAATGTCTTTAAAGTGGAGTTTTCATAAAGGCTGATTTCTTTTCACGTACTGAATGAAATCATGAATAATATTCAGCCTTGACCAATGCATAGCCCTTTAATAACGTATTGAAAAATTTGGCGGGAACGAGCAGACAATATCGTGAATAGCTGACAAGACACAAAATCATTCATTATTGAAGCAAGACGATGGCCCCAGATGTTAAATCTTCTGTAATTTCGGATATTTTGCACCTATCGTTGTAATGACGTGAAAGTATGCGTGTAGCTATCAGCATTTGAACTTTAACGGTGATAAATTACCTTAGGACCTACATATTCAATTTTCATTACTTATTTACATGACCTTGATATATTTTTATCCAGGAGACATAGACTACGTTTTATTTCGAAGGAGAGCTATTATAACAAACGGAAACCATCCCAGACCCACTACCTTCCCCAACACATCTACATGATGCAACTCGTCGCATAATTTGCTGTTAAGAAGATCAGCACCACTTTCATTTCACAAATTGCGATAGAGGTGGAGAAATGCGTTGTAAGCCCCCACCCCCTCCACCTGATTATATATTGCGATATCTGCTGTCGCAAACCCTTCGGTCCAGTGGCTTATGAATTTGAGTTGGGACCCGTGGACTAAAGTAAGTTGGCCCCTCCCCCGAGAATTTCTGTTGCTCTCCTTATTGTTTTCTGGGAGTCGGGCCCTTAGAGGTGGGGGCCCGTGGACTTGGTTCCGCTAGTCCCAATGATAGTTAAGCAACTGCTTCGATCTAAGATCTAATTTCATTTTAAGTATTCCTTACAAGACGAACCAAGACCCAAATCGTGACTGCAGAAAATCTAAACCACCGATGCCTTTTCTCCTGTGAATCAAAGCTGTGATGTTGGGAGAGATAAACAGACTAAACATAGCTAGTGATAAACACTATGTATATAATAAATCTTTATAATGCCCAGTTTTATAGTGTCGCCATCTTTAAACAAAACTGGCGCCCATTAATTTCGGGTGTTAGTATTTTCCCATGATTAACACAAAATCTACCAAATTTTTCAAAGGTGTTGAAATCAGATTTCACAGATTTTCCACTAATCGCCTTTAAATAGATAAGGTGTGAAAGTAGATGTTTCTCTTTTCAAAAGACTCTTCGTCGATTAAAACCTATCTCTTCAGGCGACCCTTGATTAGAAACAACAACCTTTCAATTGGGTTTGTTTAAGGGCTGGACTGATTGCCCTAAATTCTATTACTTTTAATGGTGTTTTGTCGCCTTTTGATATTATTACGCCAAGACGTTTGGCAGTTACTAATATGGTTTTAACAGTTTATAGGATTTACTTCGAAAATGCAGTGAAAATATTAGCAACGCATCGCGAAAGATTTCCCTTTTCGAGTCCCTGATTTACAGCTTTAAGTCACAAATGAATGTAAGATTTGCTCTTTGAACCACACAATCGAAAAAATTATGGCACTGATAAAGCTAAGTTGGTATATAGTAAAATGTACCCCTGTTCGGCGATTCAGTGTCATAGGTTCGAATCCCGCTAAACTTGTAAAAATGTTAGCGAGAGTTAGACCAGTGTCGATTTTTAAAACAGTCAGCCCTTTCTTATAGTATTTAATGATATAATAATTACAAAATATGATACATACATCACATTTACGATCATAAGTTAAAATTTCCCACCCATTATAGCATTGATGTTTAAAAAATTTGTATGGTAATAATTGATGCTACTACAGTAAAGGAATACATCTGAATTATACAGTTGATGAGTGGAATTTAACTGAAAATAAAACAACAAAGAACCGAAACCATAGTGAAATACGACAAAACTAGTTGTCAAAAGAAAAGATATGGAGTCCATGGATTGGAACGTCTGCTTCAATATAGCGTAAAACAACCCAGATTTAAAATGATAAAATATTAATGAAACATTTCGGTACTGAGTTGTTTATTCTATATTTTAGGATAGGACAAGTCGGTATCACATTCTTAAAACTAACTAAACATTACGAAGTTAACCAGCACTTTGTCCTTATAGGCCCACGCTTTCTATAAGTTCAATTCTTATTTTACCTTAAAACTATCAGGAAGGTTATGCACCCATTATGAGAGGCAACTTAATTTTTCCATAACCAGAAAGCCGAATCAAGTATCAGTTACAAATATATAATGAATAGTATTTCATTTTTGATATTTATACCATTGATTTGATGAATATTCCATCAGCTATTGTTATCTCATCCACTGGTGCATTTAAAAGGTAAAAAAAATCATTTCATATCACCAGACTATTGCTAACTATAAACAGAGCAAACAATAATAAAAAATAATAAAAAACATGTAGGCCTACCACTCTTCAAACATTCACCTTTTACCACAAGTCCCTAAAATAGAGATATTCCAAGCTTTACCAGTACCTGAAAATACCAGGGCTGTGCCCCATTAGATATGATGGTGCAGCTAGCGCTGTAAGAACATCTCTCTATTCCGGAAAACAAAACTCAGCACCTGAGTTCATTTACTTGGTGCATCATATAAATATGTATGTATGCGATAGCCAAATAGACACAATTGGTTGAAAATGCAATATAATCATTATGTTACAAACCTAGCAATAACATAAAACTGAAATTTTTGCAATAAAGAATCCTA